ACCGGTAAAGTAGGACGCTGGATACTCAGTTTTCTGTCAAACAGGACTCAGCGAGTAACTGTCAACCATATAAAATCTAGTCCAAGTGCAGTGAAAAGCTCTGTACCTCAGGGTACAGTCCTTGCACCACTGCTTTTCCTTATTCTCATATCAGATATAGACAAAAATGCAAGTCACAGCTTCGTATCATCCTTGCAGATGACACAAAAATCAGTATGAAAATTACCTCGGCTGAGGACATTGAAAAACTTCAAGCTGATATTAATAGTTTTCGACTGGGCATCAGAAAATAACATGATGTTTAACAGTGATAAATTCCAGGTACTCAGGTACGGTAAAAATGAGGACCTTAAACATAATACAGAGTACAAAACACAATCAAATGTACCCATAGTAGGAAAACAGCATGTAAAGGATTTGGGAATAATAATGTCTGACGACCTAACGTTTAAGGAGCATAACCAAGCAAATATTGCGACAGCCAGAAAAATGATAGGATGGATTACGAGAACTTTCAAATCCAGGGATCCCATCACAATGGTTGTACTCTTCAAGGCACTTGTGTTGTCCCGTCTTGAGTACTGCTCAGTACTCACTTCCCCCTTCAAAGCAGGAGAGATTGCTGAAATAGAGGGAATACAGAGAACATATACGGCACGCTTAGACGCAAATAAACCACCTAAATTATTGGGATCGTCTCAAAGCCCTCCAAATGTACTCACTAGAAAGAAGACGAGAGAGATATCAAATAATATACACCTGGAAGATACTGGAGGGCCAAGTACCAAATCTACACAGTAAAATAACAACGTACTGGAGTGAACGACATGGAAGAAAATGTAGAATAGAACCAATGAAGAGCAGAGGTGCCATAGGCACAATCAGAGAACACTGTATAAACATCAGAGGTCCGCGGTTGTTCAACGTCCTCCCAGCAAGCATAAGAAATATTGCCGGAACAACCGTGGACATTTTCAAGAGGAAACTAGATTTATTCCTCAAGGAGTGCCGGACCAACCGGGCTGTGGTGGGTATGTGGGCCTGCGGGCCGCTCCAAGCAACAGCCTGGTGGACCAAACTCTCACAAGTCGAGCCTGGCCTCGGGCCGGGCTTGGGGAGTAGAAGAACTCCCAGAACCCCATCAACCAGGTATCAACCAGGTAACCATCCCTCCCTCCCCTCCTCCATCCCTCCTTCCCAGCTCCCTTTCTCCATCCAACCATCCCTCAACTCCATCCCTTTGTCCTTCCTTCCCTTCCTCCCTCCCTCCTTCCCTTTCTCCATCCCTTCCTCCTTCCCTCCCTCCTTCCCTTCCTCCCTCCCTCCATTTCTCCCTCCCCTCCATGCCTCCCTCCATCCCTCCCTCCCTCCATCCCTCTCTCCATCCATCCCTCCCTCCCTCCCTCCTTACCTCCATCTCTCCCTCCCCTCCATCCCTCCCTCCCTTATTCCTTCCTTCCATCCAAACATCTGGTTAACTGGGTCAAGTGTTAGGCTTATCTCTTCCCTTCCCCACCACCGACACACACACACCCGCCCCCCTCCCTATACTTCCCATACACGCTCTCTCTGCTTCACCTCAACACCCATTGCTCCATCCCTCCCTCCCTCTCTTCTTACCTCCATCACTCCCTTCATCCCTCCTTTCCTTCCTCCATCCCTTCCTCCATCCCTCCCTCCATCCCTCCCTCCCTCCCTCCTTCCCTCCCTCCTTCCCTCCCTCCTTCCCTCCCTCCTTCCCTCCATCACTCCCCTCCATCCCTTCCTCCGTCCTTCACTCCCTCCATCTCTTCCTCCCTCCCTCCCTCCTTCCATCCCTCCCTCCCTCCTTCCCAGCTCCCTCCCTCCCTCCATCTCTCCCTCCTTCCCTCCCCTCCATCCCTTCCTCCCTCCTTCCTTCCATCTAAACATCTGGTTGCGAGCTGGTCCCTTCCCCCACCAACGACACCCTCCCCTCCCCCCAAACTTCCCATACACACGCTCTCTCTGCTTCACCTCAACAATCATAGCGCCATCCCTCTCTCCCTCCCTCCATCAATCCATCCCTCCATCCATCTCCATCCACTCCCTCCCTACCTACCACCCAGCCTCTGCCTGCCTGCCTCCCTCCTTGCTGCTCCCTCCCTGCCTACCACCCAGCTGCCTCCCTCCCTCCCCGCTTACCACTCAGCTTCTGCCTGCCTGCCTGCCTCCCTCCCTCCATGCCTACCACCCAGCCTCTTCCTGCCTGCCTCCCTCCCTCCATGCCTACCACCCAGCCTCTTCCTGCCTGCCTGCCTGCCTCCCTCCCTCCATGCCTACCACCCAGCCTCTTCCTGCCTGCTTGCCTGCCTCTTGCCTGCCTGCCTCCCTCCCAAGCTCTGCCTGCCTGCCTCCCAAGCTCTGCCTACCTGCCTCCCTCCCAAGCTCTGCCTGCCTGCCTCCCTCCCTCCTTGCCTGTCCCTCCCTGCCTACCACCCAGCATCTGCCTTCCTCCTTGCCTCTCCCTCCCTGCCTACCTCCCAGCCTCTCCCTGCCTGCCTACATTTCAGCCTCTCCATCCCTGTCTGCCTGCCCATCCATCCACCAGTCAGCCATCACTAACACAACGAGTGCATTTAGAGCCGACATGGTGCACGGATGTTCTTTGATTGTGCAGATATGTCCAACAAAGTAACGGAATGAATACTCCAGCCTCATGACAAATCAAAACAATGTGTCGTGAATCTGTGACGTCACAGGGTAGAAGGCACTAGAGTGGTGGACCCAGTGGCTGTCTGTATAAAATATATCTTACCTGAACGTTGCTTGAAAAATTACCGACATTAAACTTCGGAAATACCGGAGCACCGGAAATAACGACCAGGGTATATACAGGCCCCATATAGGCCGTTAAATCGAGTGGATACTGTATACACACTCAGTACTCCCCGAGTGTGTGATATGCTGCGAAACAGCATATCAGAGTGGCACCTTGCACTCCACGCATCAGGTAATTAAGAAGCAATAAGATGCTTATCTTAACATACTAAGAAGGTAATTACCTGAGTGTAATTACCTAAGTGTAGTTACAGGATGAGACCTACGCTCGTGGTGTCCCGTCTTCCCAGCACTCTTTGTCATATACCGCTTTGAAACTACTGACAGTCTTGGCCTCCACCACCTTCTCCCCTAACTTGTTCCAACCGTCTACCACTCTGTTTGCGAAAGTGAATTTTCTTATATTTCTTCGGCATCTGTGTTTAGCTAGTTTATATCTATGACCTCTTGTTCTTAACGTTCCAGGTCTCAAGAAATCTTCCCTATAGATTTTATCAATTCCTGTTACTATTTTGTATGTAGTGATCATATCGCCTATTTTTCTTCTGTCTTCTAGTTTCGGCATATTTAATGCCTCTAACCTCTCCTCGTAGCTCTTGCCCTTCAGTTCTGGGAGCCACTTAGTAGCATGTCTTTGCACCTTTTCCAGTTTGTTGATGTGCTTCTTAAGATATGGGCACCACACAACTGCTGCATATTCTAGCCTTGGCCTAACAAAAGTCGTGAACAATTTCTTTAGTATATCGCCATCCATGTATTTATCTAGAACCACCCTAGATCTCTTTCTTTATCAGAACTCTTTAAAGATTTCTCACATAATATATAGGTTGTGTGGGGTCTATGTTCTCCTATTCCACATTCCATAACATGGCATTTATTAACATTAAATTCCATTTGCCAAGTGGCGCTCCATGTACTTATTTTGTCCAGGTCTTCTTGAAGGGTGTGATGCATCTTCGCTTTTGTGATCTGCGTGTAGTGTTCCTGCATAATATGCACGCACATTTATCCTTCTCCCGTGATGCTGTGCCTGGCATATACTCCAGCATGTGTACCCCGAAGTTCTCATTACCCCGCAGTATATCTGTCGCTGCGTGTGGCATTGTTGCTTGCACCCCGCGCAGTACTATGGAGCCCTCCCTGCCATACTTTACCAGCAGCTGTGACACAACGCTGGCACTGAAGGTACGTATAGACGGTTTCCTGCCGGACTTCACCAGGTACATATTGAAGCAGTTGAGCACTGCAACATCCATGAGGTGGAAGAAGAACATTTTCGTCCACTTTACAGACCCGCGCACGCATTCCACACCATCAAGAATCATGTCACATTTATCGACGAGGCGCATGTTCACGTTACAGTCTATGACACAGTCTGGCTTATACATGGGGTTGCGCGTCTGAAAATGGACCTTCCCACTGTCCAACATGGCACCGGTGTAAATTGTCGTAAGTATATTCACTTCGCATCTGTCCTTCCACCGCACTGACAGCATATTGTCACACTTGCACAGCTGGCACTTGCCCACGGATATACCTATACCGAACACTGGCATTTCCTTCCTGAGGATCTTCACAGTGCCGCATATGCTGGTGTTGTGGGCAAGGAGGTATCTGGTCAACAGGGGGGGGGGGGGTAGTGTAATAGTTGTCTGTGAACAGTATATGCCCCCTGTTCAGCAACGGTTCCATCAGGGTTTTTACGACACTGCCAGAAAACCCGTGTTCATCTGTAGCTGGTATGTCGACGTCTGTACCAGAATACAAGATCATGTCCAGGACGATGCCAGTCTCACAGTCGCACAGCACGAAAAACTTCAGTCCAAAACGGTGCTGCTTGGAAGGGATATAATGCTTGAATGCCAGTCTGCCATTGAACAGTACAAGCGACTCGTCGATAACGACATTCTGTCCAGGTACAAAATAATCCCTGAACTTCCCTCGCAGGTCGCTGAATACCTTGCGTACCTTCCACAGTCTGTCGTGTCTGACCTCATTTGCATTGTTCTCAAAATGCAGGCACCTGAGAAGCAAGTGGAACCTATCCCGTGTAATATACCGGTTGAAGATGGGTGATGGAACAAGGCTGTCTTTGTTCCAATAGTCCTGGACGACAGCTTTCTCAGAGTGTTTCATCATCATGCATAGTGCCAGAAACACGTACATCTTGTCGATTGTCATATCCTTCCATCACGTGAGGCATGAGGCAGGTAATATGCTGCCGTCTATGAGGGTGTGGGCGTACATGTTTGTCTTGGTCACAAGATGCCTCATGAAGACATTGTCAAAATATGCCTGGAAATATTCCATGTCCGCCATATCATCATCGGTATATGGAAATAAAGCTTTAACACCAACATCGGTATTATCAAACGTTGGTATTTGAGGGACAAATGTAGTGTAATCCTCCCACACAAGTACACCAGGGAGTTTGGTGTTGGCGCCAACACCACGGCCAACACCACCACGAGCACCAAAACCACGGCTACGTCGTCTGCTGCTGGAGCTGCGTGAGGGTATGCTTGGCGCTTAGGCAGATTTTTGTACCGTAGGCCTATCACGAACACCTGATGTTGAGGGCCCCACTGTCGTCTTGCTGCGAGACACGCTGTCACCTGCCTCGACGTGTTGCTGAGGCAGCAAAGCCTCGCCTGGTACCACCTAGTACTCGGGTCGTCCACACTACTCGTATCGGAGTCAATGTCACTGAAGCCCGAGAAAGATTCGTCACGTCTACTGTCACTGAATAAACTAGCGTCTGGGGACATACATAATGGTGGTGAGGATAAGGGTGTTGACCTAGGGCGACGAGACAGGCCTGGCGAGGAGCGTGTATCGTACACGCTTTCCACATCATCCACTTGCGTCTCTCCCTCACTCGTATCAGACCTCTGTGTCAGATCTTTCTCTGGATCATAGTCCAGGTCATCATCCATAGCACCATCGTCGTACAAAATATCACGAATCTCTTCCTCAGAGTCGTTTTCCATGACTGCGGGTCACCGTGGAGCGGGAGCTGGTTGACGATGTGTCAGACATGGTTGCTGCTTGGAAACTGGGGCTCCCCACGGCCGCGAGGCATGCTGGAAATTTTTTTCAAGATGGCGGACAATCACTGGGGCCCCCAGCCATTCATTCCATACCCGCATCACCGTGCGCCACTTTTAAATCGAACGTGAAAAATACAAATAACCGGAGGTGTTCAGCGCACCCCAAGCGTGGGCCTGCAGGCACGTTGCGCAGTTAAAGAGTTAAATATTCCAAAACTAAAAGATAGAAGAAAAAGAGGTGATATGATCACTACGTACAAAATAGTAACGGGAATTGATAAAATTGATAGGCAAAAATTCCTGAGACCTGGAACTTCAAAAGCAAGAGGTCATAGATTTAAACTAAACAAAGGTGCCGAAGAAAATTAAATTTTTTAGAAGTGAATAAGAAAATTCACTTTCGCAAACAAGTAGGGTAGACGGTTGGAACAAGTTAGGTGAGAAGGTGGTGGAGGCCAAAAGCGTCAATAATTTCCAAGCATTATATGACAAGAGTGCTTGGAAGACGGGACATCATGAGCATAGCTCTCATCCTGTAACTACACTTAGGTAATTATATAATTTATAGGTTGTGTGGGGTCTATGTTCTATTCCACATTCTATGTTCTATTCCACATGGCATTTGTTCACATTAAATTCCATTTGCCAAGTGGTGCTGATACACTTATTTTGTTCAGGTCTTCTTGAAGGGCAGGACAATCATGAATTTATGATGTCTGCCAGTACAATAGTCAGTTCTGCACATGCGGAGCACAGTGACTTAGAAAGGAAAATTATTATTATTAATAATTATATATCCTCCCCAAAGCAATGGAATAGTATAGGAAACACTTATTTAAGACATTCACTGGTTGAAAATATATATAGAAACAGCAGTGTTAAATGTTGAAAACAGTCTGGAACTCTATAAGATATACAAATGACCAATTTTGGGATATGAGTTTTGTGTGAAACATTATTGGAACCAAGCGAGTGCACACAGAGTGGAGCGCGGCAGCAAGTTGTCCATTCAGGTGGCGAATACTCCAGTGTCCAGTAGACGTCGGTGCGATGCTTGGGGTGGTCTTCTACAGTAATGATAAGTGCATTAACTGTACTAGTGTTTTTTTTCTTTGTTAGTTTAGGGATAGGAATTTTAGGAATGTGTGTCTTGTGTTATTTTGGGCTCATTCACCTACTATAAGGAGTACTGTAACACGTGGTTTAAACTCCATCAACCTTGGTCCTCGTTAGTAAAGTGATTAAGTGTAGAGACCTTATATTGTAAAAATCCATGCTACATTTGTATATTACCAAGAGAGTGTACAGTAAAATAATGACTAAGCCCAGATTTGTGTGGGACCAATAGTCAATTCATCCATCATGTATATGTTTGGTGAAGAGTATAACTCAATCTTAACAATCCAGTAATGTAATCGTGTGTTCCCATAGTTAATAAGTGTAGAATATTCCGGAGTTGTTCAACAAAGCCCATGTGTAAAGATTTAACCCACAGTGCACTTATTGTCCAACTTAGACTAAGAGTACTTGACCCTTCCCCAATTATCATATATGATACATACGTTTCCTTCCATTATTCATAGGAAAGTAAGGACGGGTTTTGTTAGTCATACTCTTGGGTATGACTTACAAGCAACCCTGCTGCTGCAAATGTTACCAAAAAATATTATCCCATACTCTGGGATATGTTTATAAAAAATATTGACCTTGCTGTGGATATGTTAATCTTTCAGTAATATTATCTAACTCTAATATTAACTCTAGAATAGCTAATACAAAGAATGTATGTAAATATTACATAATTTGTATTAGTAAATAAAGTACAGTGGTACCTCGCATAATGATCGCCCCAAAAGACGAACATTTTGGGTAACGAACGGCCTGATCGGCGTCAAATCGTCCCGTATGACGAATGCTCATTTGAGTAACGTCAACACCACATGGTAGGGTCGCGCTGCTTCTTGCACATTCTCAGACGCCTCCGACAGTGCCCATAAATTATGTTGTTTTTGTTTAAAGATGCTAATGATGATGGGATATAAAGGGGTGACTGCTGAGATGTTGCAAAGCATTGACGTTTTTGTAGAAAAAAAATGAAATTTCTGATACACAACAAATGTCAGAAAGGTTTGTTCGGTGTTCGGCAGGTAGGCTGTTCCATTATAACAATCTTTCTTTGTTTCAAATGTGTTCCATTTGTTTTGTATTTGTCATTTACGTCTCAATAATGGAGAAGCCTACTACCTTACATACACTGAACCATTATGACATTGTCCTTTCTTCAAATGTGTTCTATATTTATTTTTCCTTTGTCTTATAGCAAAAGGTTTGTTTGGTGGTCGGCAGGTAGGCTGCTCCATGTTTCTTACATAAAAAACGTAAATAATAAAAAAAATGAAGAATTTTGAAAACCAGAACAAATGTCAAAAAGGTTCGTTCGGTGGTCTACAGGTCGGCTGCTCCATGTTTCTTAAATAAAAAAAATAAAAGAACTGTTGAAACAATTTGAAAAATGGACAAATGCCATAAAGGTTTGTTCAGTGTTTGTCGGGTAGGCTGCTCCATTATTGAGACGTAAGTGACAAATACAAACAAATGGAACACATTTGAAACAAAGAAAGATTATCATAATGGAGTAGCCTACCCAACAAACACTGAACGAACCTTTTGCTATAACGAATATGAAAGACTAGGGCTGCTGGCTGGGTTAGTACTGTGTGAGCAACCATTTGTGGCACACGCGCCTCTGGCTCTCAAACACCTGTCCAACACGGTGTTGAAAGTCTGCGCTCAGTCGGTGAAATTCAGTCCCTATTGTTTGAAGAACATAAGGGTCATAACATTGGTGAAGCTAGGCGCAATAAGGACTTAACACAATGGATGGGTGCAAGTGATACAGCACCTATGAGGATGATACAGCGAGCGTATCCAGTTGTAGCTCTGAGCCCCACCCTTGCCATCTCCAATTTATATAGATACATAGATGAATTGTTGTCTGCATTCAGTGATGATGCATCTGATACAAGTAGCATAGATGAACAGTGTTAGCAGCTTCCATGGTGGTGTTGTCCATAGATATTTTTCAAGAATACCTGAATCTCTTCCTGACTGACTTACACTCTTTGAGGCTAGCTGAATCTCTTCCTGTGTGGGACCTTAAAAAGCGATCTTTTCAAGATTACCTTACAAATTGAGCTTTTCCTATAATCGTTTCAATACTACCTTATGCTTTACAAGCTAGGATACATACCACCTACAAGTACTAAAGCCAAGGGTGCACGCGAGTGCGTTACGTGCAAGCACACAGAACGATGAAACAGGAAACGAAAATCTAGCTGTAGCTGGTGCAACGAGAGCAAAGTCGTGCTGTATACTATGGACTACTTCGTTGACTATTACGCACCTCCAAAGTACTGAGTGTGTAATACAGTGTGTTCCTGTGTAAATAGTATGTGAAACTGTACATATTGTAATATTAGTGAATTTTTACCACATAATATTATGAAAATAAACATTTATTGTGGACACATTACTGACACATGTGACACAGTTACCATGGAAAATTATGAACATTCTACTGTATACATATTGTAAAGGTCACAAATATGCATCATATACGATAAAAAAACAAATAAAACCGCATTGGAAATACATAAAAAAATATTTGAAAATATATTTGTGGCAACATGCAGTGCTTGAATGGCCTGCGCGACCGTGTCTGGGAGCTTCACACACGGACGACTAGCCCCTGATGACATCACAGCGCACATTGTCCACGTCCTCACAGCCAAAGTAAGTGGAATTTGCTAATTATATTTACATAGACATGTTCAGGGAAGGTAATTTATCCTTTTACAAAGAAAAAGGATGTCTTTGGGAACATTTGATGTCATGCACACTGGGGGAATCTCACAATAAACACAGTGCATCACAGTTGTTACATGGAGGACACTCGTTTTGTATGACGTCCGTTTCACATGACGAACATGGAATGGATTAAATTCGTTATGCGAGGTACCACTGTACTGTAATATTACTTTTTTGTTGTAAATACATCTAGCTTAACCAAATATTCTTTTCCACAGGATAACAAGCCAGAGAAATGTTCAGTGTGTTATAACGATTATGATGACAATCAACTACGGCCTCGCACACTGCCGTGCGGCCACACATTCTGCTCCCAGTGTATTGACAATGCTATCAAGAATGGTCAGCTGACCTGCCCCAGCTGCCATGCCCAGCACACTGCCATATCCGCTACTCAGTTCCCAATTAGCTATGCTGTGGAGGCTTTTGTTAGGAAACTCAAAAATATCCAGCAAACACAAGAGAAAACTGTACCCGCAAAAAAGAAGTTACGTTCCATGTTGCAGGAGCAGAAGAGCAGCATTAGTAGCCTCATTACTAGCTGTGAAGAGGTACTGTCCCAGCTGGAGGAGTACCGGGGGCAGCTGGGGGACTGGAAGACTCACCACCTCCAGCTCCAGGACAGACTCTATGCTCTGGTAGAGCAGAACAAGTCAGCAATGAAGCTCTTGGAACTGGAGGATACCAGTGTGGTGGATATGACAACACAAGGAGAGGAAGGGAAGACTCAGCTGCAGGCCATGTTGGGGAGCCTCGACACAGTCAACACCCCACAGGAGGTTGACACAACCATAGACACAGCTGATGAGTGCAGCACGAAAATAAAAGATTGGCTGGAGAAGTGCCAGGAACTCTTCCCAGATGTCAAGACTGTCCACACCTCAGTGAAGGTACGTTGCTGAAGGTCACATTGTTCTCACCCAACTGAGTGTAGTATTGCCTCTATATAAACACTTTTGACATGGACACACATCAAGATGAGAGCAGACTTTATATATAACAAATTTTTTGCTCTAACACTTGAAACAGTTTTATTAATAAAGTCAACTGTCATCTTGGTGTTTCTCTACACTGTGGTCAGTGTAGAGAAACAACATTACTTATATTTTTTAGTTACTTTACTCAGAGCCTAATGCTTCATTATAGTCCATTTACTTTACTCAAAGCTTGATGCTTCATTGTAGTCCAGTTACTTTACTCAGAGCCTGATGCTTCATTATAGTCCATTTACTTTACTCAAAGCTTGATGCTTCATTGTAGTCCAGTTACTTTACTCAGAGCCTGATGCTTCATTATAGTCCTGTTCCATTATTAATGTTTGTGTTGGTAATGACAGGTGCAGGAGACCATCAGGGACGTCCTGGAGATGATGACCACAGAGACAGGTGCCACAGCTGACCCCGTACACCTGGGAGACTCAGCCTCCAGCATCATGCATAAAGTTCAGCAAATCATTAGAGAGATCCACCAGAAGCAATTAACAGTAAGTTTTTTTATTTGCTCTCATAGGTCATATCACAAGATATTGAGTTGCGTTTTGAGGAGAGGAAGCCTGTTCTTAGGTTTATCAAGGCTCCCTAAGGTCAACTATTGACTTTCCTTAACATACAATCCACAAAAGTTGCCTAACTCCTGGATAAATATTTACTGGTAGGTGAACCTCATGAGGCAACAGGTGAAAGGAAACATGTGAACCATTTCTGTCCTGCAAGGTAATTGAACCCGTGATCCTCTATTGAACCCGGGATCCTGGCTCCCCTCACAGAGGCGCAGAGAGCAAGTGACATTCCACCAACCTACCGGGAAAGTATCCAGGAAGACAGCGAACCAAAACAGACCACTGCCGGGTATAAAGACACTGAAAACTTGAAACTGCCATCAAACTCCCAAACAAGGCCAGCACCAAGCCACCCCCCCCCCTCCCTGCCAGTAGAGGGAGGCTGGAGTTACTGGTCCAGCACCAACCCCCCTGCCAATAAAGGGGGGCTGGAGCTACAGGTTCTGCACCAACCCCCTGCCAGTAGTGGAGGGGGGGGGGGCCGGAGCTACAGGTCTGGCACCAAATCCCCCCCCCCATCCCTCCCAGTAGAGGGATGCTGGAGTTACTGGTCCAGCACCAACCCTTTGCCAGTAGACGGGGGCTGGAGCTAGAGTGATTAGGAATCACTAGCTTGAAAGAGTGATTAGGAATCAAATTTCTAATTTTATGGAAAACAATGAATTGCACAATCCAGGACAACATGGATTTAGAGCATGAAGATCCTGTCTGTCGCAGTTACTCAACCACTATGACAAAATCATAGAAGCCCTAGAAGAAAAGCAAAATGCAGACATTGTATACACAGACTTTGCAAAGGCGTTCGACAAATGTGACCATGGGGTGATAGCTCACAAAATGAGGTCAATGGGAATAACTGGAAAAGTAGGACGCTAGATACTCAATTTCCTGTCGAAAAGAGCACAAAGAGTAACAGTCAATCAGATAAAATTGAGTCCAAACGATGTTAAAAGCTCTGTACCTCAAGGTACAGTCCTTGCACCGCTACTGTTCCTTATTCTCATATCTGATATAGACAAAAATACACGTCACAGCTTCGTGTCGTCCATTGCAGATGACACAAAAATCAGCATGAAAATTACCTCTGCTGAAGACATTGAAAAACTACAAGCAGATGTCAACAAAGTTTTCGATTGGGCAGCAGAAAATAACATGATGTTTAACAGTGATATATTTCAGGTACTCAGGTATGGCAAAAACGAGGATCTGAAACATAATACAGGGTACAAAACACAATCGAATCATCCCATAGTAGAAAATCAGCATGTCAAGGATTTGGGAATAATGACGTCCGACGATCTAATGTTTAGGGGAGCATAACCAAGCAAATATCTCGTCAGCCAGAAAAATGATAGGATGGATTATGAGAACTTTCAAATCCAGGGATCCCATCACAATGGTTGTACTCTTCAAAGTCACTTGTGTTGTCCCGTCTCGAGTACTGTTCAGTACTCACTTCCCCCTTTAGAGCAGGAGAGATTGCTGAAATAGAGGGAATACAGAGAACATATATGGCACGCATAGACGAGATAAAACACCTAAATTATTGGGATCGTCTCAAAGCTCTCCAAATGTACTCTTTAGAAAGGAGACAAGAGAGATACCAAATAATATACACATGGAAAATACTGGAGGGCCAGGTCCCAAATCTACACAGTAAAATAACAACGTACTGGAGTGAACGATATGGAAGAAAATGCAAGTTTGAACCAGTGAAGAACAGAGGTGCCATAGGCACAATCAGAGAGCACTGTATAAACATCAAAGATCCGCGGTTGTTCAACGTCCTCCCAGTGACTATAAGAAATATTGCCGAAACAACCTTGGACATCTTCAAGAGAAAACTGGACTCTTTTCTAAGAGAAGTTCCGTATCAGCCGGGCTGTGGTGGGTATGTGGCCCTGTAGGCCACTCCAAGCAACAGCCTGGTGGACCAAACTCTCAGAAGCCGAGCCTGGCCTTGGGCCAGGCTTGGGGAGTAGAAGAACTCCCAGAACCCCATCAAGCAGGCATCAAGCAGGTACAGGTCTAGCACCAACCCCCCTGCCAGTAGAGGGGGGCTGGAGCTACAGGTCCAGCACCAACCTCCCATGCCAGTAGAGGGTATCTGGAGCTACAGGTCCTGCACCAACCCCACTGCCAGTAGAGGGGGGGAGGGGCTGGAGCTACAGGTCCAGCACCAACCCTCGGCCAGGGGAGCTGGAGCTACAAATCCAACACCAACCCCCCCCCCCCCCTGCCAGTAGAGGTGGGTTGGAGCTACAGGTCCAGCACCAACCCCCTGCCAGTAGAGGGGTGGAGCTGGAGCTACAGGTCCAGCACCAACCCCCTGCCAGTAGAGAGGGGCTGGAGCTAATGGTCCAACACTAACCCCCTGCCAGTAGAGAGGGGCTGGAGCTAATGGTCCAACACTAACCCCCTGCCAGTAGAGGGGGGTTGGAGCTACAGGTCCAGCACCAACCCCTGTGCCAGTAGAGGGGGGCTTGAGCTACAGGTCCACCACAAACCCCCCTGCCAGTAGAAGGGGGGGGGGGCTGGAGCTACAGGTACAGCACCAACCCCCTGCCAGTAGAGGCTGGCTGGAGCTACAGGACCAGCACCAACCCCCTGCCAGTAGAGGAGGGATGGAGCTACAGGTCCAGCACCAACCCCCCTGCCAGTAGAGAGGGCTGGAACTATAGGTCCAGCACCAACCCCCCTGCCAGTAGAGGGGGCCTGGAGCTACAGGTCCAGCACCAACCCCCTGCCAGTAGAGGGGGCCTGGAGCTACAGGTCCAGCACCAACCCCCTGCCAGTAGAGAGGGGGGGGGCTGGAGTTACAGGACCAGCACCAACCCCCCTGCCAGTAGAGTTGGGATGGAGCTACATGTGCAGCACCAACCCCCTGTCAGTAGAGGGGGGGCTGGAGCTCCAGGTCCATACCAACCCTATGCCAGTAGAGGGGGGGCTGGAGCTACAGGAGCAGCACTAACCCCCTGCCAGTAGAGGGGGGCTGGAGCAAATGCTCCAAAACCAATCCCCTGCCAGTAGAGGGGGCTGGAGCTACAGGTCCAGCACCAACCCCCTGCCAGTAGAAGGGGGCTGGAGCTACAGGTCCTGCACCAATCCCCCTGCCAGTAGAGGGGGACTGGACCTACAGGATCAGCACCAACCCCCTGCTAGTAGAGGGTAGCTGGAGCTACAGGTCCAGCACCAACCCCCTGCCAGTAGAGGGGGGCTGGAGCTACAGGTCCAGCGCAAACCCCCCCTGCCAGTAAAGGGGGGGGGGGGCATGAGCTACAGGTCCAGCACCAACCTCCTGCCAGTAGAGGGGCGCTGGAGCTACAGGTCCAGTGCAAACCCCCCCTGCCAGTAAAGGGGGGGGGGGGCATGAGCTACAGGTCCAGCACCAACCTCCTGCCAGTAGAGGGGCGCTGGAGCTACAGGTCCAGTGCAAACCCCCCCTGCCAGTAAAAGGGGGGGGGGGCATGAGCTACAGGTCCAGCACCAACGCCCTGCCAGTAGAGGGGGGCTGGAGCTACAGGTCCAGCACCAACCCCCCTTCCAGTAGAGGGGTGCTGGAGCTACAGGTCCTGCACTAACCCCCTGCTAGTAGAGGGGGGCTGGAGCTACAGGTCTAGAACCAACCTCCTGCCAGTAGAGGAGAGATGGAGCTACAGGTCCAGCACCAATCCCCCTGCCAGTAGAGGGGGGGGGGCTGGAGCTACAGGATCAGCACCAATACCCTGCTAGTAGAGGGGTGCTGGAGCTACAGGTCCAGCACCAACCCCCTGCCAGTAGAGGGGTGCTGGAGTTACAGGTCCAGCACCAACCCCCTGCCAGTATAGGGGGCTGGAGCTACAGGTCCAACACCAACCCCCCTGCCAGTAGAGGGGGGCTGGAGCTACCATTCCAGCACCAACCCCCTGCCAGTAGAGGGGGACTGGAGCTACAGGTCCAGCAATCATGCCCTGCCAGTAGAAGGGAGGGGGCTGGAGGTGCAGGTCCAGCACAATGGGGCTGACACTGACCTCAGGTGATAATGGGGCTGACACTGACCACAGGTGATAATGGGGCTGACACTGTCCACAGGTGATAATGGGGCTGACACTGACCACAAGTGATAATGGGGCTGACACTGACCACAAGTGATAATGGAGGGGCTGACACTGACCACAGGTGATAATGGGACTGACACTGACCACAGGTGATAATGGGGCTGACACTGCCCACAGGTGATAATGGGGCTGACACTGTCCACAGGTTGAGGACCTCCACAGGATGAGGGAGCCCGTCAAGAGTCTGGTGGAAGCTGGCTGGGTGTTGGCCGTCAAGAGGCTGATGGAGGCTGGCCGGGTGTTGGCCGTCAAGAGGCTGGTGGAGGCTGGCCGGGTGATGGCCGTCCAGGAAGACCAAGATGGCTGCCGCTCCGCCAGGATAACTCTACAAGACGGACAGCTGTACCTCCACCCACTCCTGCGTCAGCCCATGCCCGCCCACGCCTACACCCTCCAGGTTACTTTATTACACCCACTATTCTTACTGACTTACTGAGTTTTGATAATTAATATGATAACATTTTGTTATACAGTTATCAGCATGAATTATTTCATTTTCTGCAGGAGAGTGAGGTTGTGGGCATGCTGGACCCCTCCTGCACCCTGGCGTTCCTTGACCTCGGGTGGGCAGGGTCAACAAGAGGGCGGGTCACCATCCGGCTGACCCCTGACACTCCTCTGGCCAGACAGTTTGTGTTGTTGTGTACGGGCCAACGGGGCCACACCTATCACAACACTAAACTGTTGCAGGTGGGGAACAAAGGTCAGCCGGAGGAGTGGGTGGCCGGCGGAGACTACAAGAGTAATGATGGTGAGGAAGAAACCCCACTGCTGCCTAACTTCCAGGGGCAGTACCGGGAGTCACTCCGGGCAGGCGCTGTGTTTGCCTGGTATGGGCCAGGGGGTCCCAGGAGTGCACAGTTCACCATCACCACCAGGGACCGCCAGGGTGGTTACCAGTGGTCACGTGTCTTCGGTGATGTAGTGAGCGGCCTGGATGTGGTGAGGGCAGCAGTCAACCACAGTGACATTACGGAGGTGACTGTGGTGGACTGTGGTGTTGTGCTGCCACTCTAGTTCACTGTACCATCACTACTATGGTGTTGAGCTGCCACTATAGTTCACTGTACCATCACCACTGTGTGGTTGTGTTGCCACTCTAGTTCACTGTACCACCACCATCACTACTGTGGTGTTGTGCTGCCATTCTAGTTCACTGTACTTCAACCATCACCATGGACTGTGGGTTTTGATGAAAATGTAATTTAAGGACATACCTATATCACTATGTCATCATAACTTCACTCTGGTATTTAACTCATATACCTGACAATCATGGCTGTATCACCATCAATGCTATATCTTTTCAGTAAGGTCACCTATGATTGCTGTTTCACTATGGCTTCACTATCACTTCTATATCACCATCACCTCAGGCCCCACACTTGGGGTCATATGCTGATCATGTTGAGTAACAAATTGTTGGTGTCACTATATGACAGCTGTTGTCACTGTTTTATCACCAATAGCTCACTATCACATAACACTCACTGCTACACCAACATCATTTCTCTTTCACTGCATTATCACCTCACACTGATATATTTCCTCCTTACATTGGCTGATATATCACTGCTACAGCACCACTACCTCACCATCACTGCTATATCACCATCACCTCACTATCACTCAGGTGTGTTGTGATATTACCATACTGGACCATGGTGTGTTGTGATATTACCATACTGGTCCATGGTGTGTTGTGATATTACCATACTGGTCCATGGTGTGTTGTGATATTACCATACTGGACCATGGTGTGTTGTGATATTACCATACTGGACCATGGTGTGTTGTGATATTACCATACTGGACCATGGTGTGTTGTGATATTACCATACTGGACCATGGTGTGTTGTGATATTACCATACTGGTCCATGGTGTGTTGTGATATTACCATACTGGACCATGGTGTGTTGTGATATTACCATACTGGACCATGGTGTGTTGTGGTATTACCATATGGGTGTGAGGTGGTGTTATGACCACACATACACCAGTATGATCATACTGTAGCTGGTGTATGATGTGCTCAAACTGTATAGTGATGTCTTGGCTGATTAGCCTAGTATCACGAATATTAATTTATGTAGTTATTCTTTTTTCGACAACACACTAGTATTAAATGTGTATTGCCAATGTATTCCACATATATCTATGTATATTATATATATGTACCATAAGTCCTTGTCATGTATTTGTGGATATATATTAGAAGTCTTGTGAATAGCAGTAGCCTAATGTGATGTAGCTTGAAAAACATCCGTATATGCTTATATTATGGAATGCTAAATAATGCTGTATAGGAAATATTATGTGAACTATGATGGAGAATGTATAAATTTAGGTCTCTGATGTATTACTGTCATGTATACTGTGTAATTTCCCTTTCATTATTGTTCATTACATTGTCCTCTAACATTAAATTAGATTTTGACACTGCGAGATGTATACCTCATAGACAGGGTTTTGATACACATGTTGTATATATATATATACTTTATATTGTATTCGTGTACACTTAAGTATAATGGCTGGCGGGCAGACGTCTTAAAATCCTCCTTCCTCCCCTCCCCCTCCCTGAGAACCGACTCCCGCCAGTGTTACCATGTCTTGCCAATATGAATTCTTTAACATATTTTTATATCATGAAATAATCTTTAATGTACTGAATTATTGGTATGTATTATTATGTAAGGTTGTGTATCATAGTCTTTATTTTGTTGATATATGAATTAGTTCTTGATCGAAATATGTCTGTATATGAGCTTGAGATATTTGAAAGGGAGGAGACAGCTGACTCATAGAGGTGGATGTAATGTATACCATGGTTCAATTCTACCATTGTGCATCCTTTATACCAGGTGGTAGGTGCTGTATTTGATTTTGATTTCTCATACTTCATTTGTTAATGGTTGTGATACCACCACCACCACCCTGTATTGGTATTAGGAGCATAATAGACGCAGTGTCCCACTGCGTCAGGATAGAGCCTGGCGTCAGCTAGTGCTGGTTGTATGCAGTTTTAAGACATGTTGATGATCATGCCCAGCTTTGAGAAGCTGGATAAATCATTGAGTGTGAGTTTTAAGATTGCATTCTTTTTTTTTTTTGTTATGTTAATGCCAAGTAAACTGGAATATTTTTGTTAGCCTTTCACTCCCCTAGACATTTATTGATATTTGGCCATGCTATGTTTTCCATTGAGGCTGTAGGTTACTCCCCCTTAATATATATATATATTTCTTGGGGGAGCCCCATCTGCTCCCTGGAGCTTTACCAGGCTGATATGCTAATGTCAGACTTTGGCATCAGTCATGTGTACGGAGTTGTAGGGCCTACTGGGGACCACGAGCCAGAACCTGGCCCCCTCTGAGAGGCAAGGGGAGCAATGGCCTATAGAAACCCCCGTGTGGTTGGAAGCATTCTATGTCTGCCATCGACCGGGTCAAGCATCTAGAAAGGTAAGCATTCCAAAACAAACCCCTATTCTGGTGAAAATTTCTACCTAAAACCGAACTAGTGGATAGAACTCCTCAACAGAAACAAGCAAACTAGTATGGCATCACACATCACCGCGCCGCTGTCTGCGCAGCTCCCCCCTCTCTGGGAAGGGGAAGAGGGAGCCCCAGACCTCCCACGCCGGCTATCCACCCATCAGTTCTTCGGCTGATGCTATAGGCACTAGTTATGTGCTCCGGCTCCAGTGGTTGTTTCAGCACTGTACCTGGAGTGTGGTGTCTGTTTTCTAGGTGGTGCGTGAGCCGGGAGTGATTCTCCAGTACTTGGGCTGCATGCGCCTAGGGTTCCCTTTCCTACGTGCCCTGTAAGTACTGCTCTTGGGGCTTGGGGCCACCTTCCACAAGTTCCTTGGGTCCTGCCCCAGCTAGGCCGTTTACTACTTGGTTTTCGGCCGCTCTTTGTGTGCTCGGGTGTTGTCTCCCTTGTTCGCCTTAAAGTAAGGGACAGTTTTGCACTGGTGGGGCGCAGGGTACTGTGCAGCTTGTCTTTACCAATCATGGCGGCCCGCTCTGTTCCGCTTGGGTACGCTGTCCTCTTGTGGGGTTTTCTCTTTCTTTTTGTTTATCTACCTGGTGGGGGGGGGGGGTCTGCCTTCGATCTTGCCCCCTGTGTCCCGAGTATTTTCTGGTGGTACCCCCTGCTAGGTCCCCGTGAGTGTACATGTCCCGGGGGTTCAGCTCTTAGAAAATTGTTTGGTAGCTTTGGGTGCCGGTCAGCAGTACCCTGCCTGGGATTACTTGAGCGCTAGTCCTCATAGTAAACGCTCGGGACCCTGGGAAACCCCTGGGGGCGCGTGGGTTCGATGGATGTGACCCCAGAGTCTCCCCTCACTTCCAGTGAGTTTGAGGGTTGCTCTCACCCTTTGTCTCTGGGTGACTCTCTGTTTTGCCTCCGTCTGCTGCCTGTGGGGTCGGTGACACCTTCGACCCAGAGTCCTGCAAGTTTGGTTGCTCGTTGTGGCTCGGTTACCCAGTTGTGCTGACTAAGCGGGTGCGGGCAGCAGGGGCATTGCACTTTGAGCCTTGGTGGTGGCAACGCTCTTGTAGTTTACTCCCCGGGAGCCTCGGGGCTGCCCCGTTTTGGTTCGTGTTGGGACTTGGGGGGGGTGTTGGTTGCTTCAGTTCCTTCCACGCCCCCTTGTCTTTCCCCTATATCCCCCTTCCTGCCTGCATCCGGTTCCTTACCGTCTGTAGGTTCGGGGCGGGGTTTGATGGTGTTGAGACTCGGGCAGTCTCTGGGAATTCCCCTTCCGGGGTAGTGACGGGGGCATTTGAGCCTGTTCCTCCAGCCGTGTTGTAAGAGTCTGCCAGTGGGCTCCCTTCCTTAGTGTTTTCGCGGCTGCCCCGGTTTTCTGGTACGGCTGGGGCTTTGGGGGGACAGCTTGGCCCTGGGGCCTGTCATGTAGGTTCCCGGGGCTGACTTGGGGAGGCCTTAGTCCCGTAGAACCCCATGGGGTTTTTTATCCCCCTCTAGGTGGGGCTTGTGGTTACCCGGAGTGGGGTCTTTCCTCCCCACTCGCCATATGTGCTGTTGGGCGTCGGCCTCTCCCTGGGCTTGGTTCCTTGGCCTTTGAGTCTGTTGGTTCAGTCCTGTGGGTGGATGTTTCCTCCCACCCTTTTTTTTTGGGGACGGTGTTTTCGTCATGTTTCCCCGTTCTTGGGGTTCTACGTGACTTCTGGTCTCGGGTGCGCCTGCGCCTTTGTGTGCCTTCGAGATTAGTGTTGGCTTCTATGTTCTCGAGGGTTCGGGATGATTTTCGCTACTTCCCACATTGTTGGAACGTCTGTCGGCTCCTCGTCTCTATGGCCGTTTTGGGCTACTTTGTCCAAGGTGCTGTCTCTGCCTTACCATATACCTAATGTTCTCTCATTCATATAATTTCCTAAATAATCCGTCAAGTCTCCATGCACTTATGCAAGCATCTACCTCAGTATTATTACAAAATTTTACTCTTAAATCTAATCTTACCCTATTCTTTTTAAATGTTAAATTTAATTGTATTGATTTATGTCATTTATTGAAATCAATTATTGATCTCATTTTGTTCTCTTAATTAAGTTCATACTAATTGTAGGTTATAAACTAAGCTAAATAAAATTTATTATCTTTAAGATTATTTTACTTTACAATTATCATTTGTCAAATTTTTTATATATTCATCTTGACAGTCATTACTGATTTTTTGTTCTCTCCACCAAACTTGTGTATCCTTCATGGCTATGTAGTGACCTTTATTTTACTTCCAATTGTTTCAATTCCCTTGTTTACTTGCATTTATTGTTGTGTTTTGCTATAATTATTCTCTAATTTTAGTAGACTTAGTACTTTGTAAGCTTTTATTGTATTGTTATATTATTGTATTGTTGTGTTTTGCTATAATTACTTTCTATTTTACAGCAGATTTAGTTTTCATCTGTTCCTGTAATTGCTTATCATATTGTATCGTGACATTATTTTATCTATATGCTTATTGATATTGATC